AGGTGAGAAGCATGGTGTGCTCACTGAATGGCCTACTGGATGACAAGAAATATAAAAGTCAAGCCCTGAAACCCAGAAAGAAGTCCATGTATACAAGCTCCAACAAAGATGCTGAGGATATACACAATGGAGAAAGGGTAGCCTCTTCAACAAATGGTGCTGGGAAAACTGGATATCCATATGCGAAAGAATGAAGCTAGACCGCTATCTTACACCGTACACAAAAAAACTCAAAATGGATTAAAGACTTGATTGTTAACACCTGAAACTGTAGAACTCTTGGAAGAAAACAGAGGGAAAGTTTCATGATTAATTAGTTTTGGTAATGATTTTTCAAATATGACACCAAAAGCATAGCCACAAAAGCGAAAAGAGACAAGTGGGACTACATCAAACTAAAAAGATTTTGCTCATTTAAAGAAACCATCGACAGAAGATAACCTATGAAATGGGAGAAAATATTTACAAACCATATATTGGATATGGGGCTAGTATCCAAAATATATAAGGAACTTCTACAACTCAATAATAGCAAATAATTAACTCGATTAAAAAATGGGCAAAGGACTTGAATAGACATATTTCCAAAGACAACATACAAATGACTAACAGGTACATAAAAAGATGTTCAGCATCACTAATCATCAGGGAAATGCAAATCAAAACCACAATGAGATACCACCTTATACCTGTTAGAATGACTATTATTAAAAAAAAAAAAAAAAAGGTAAGTGTTGGAAAAGGATGAAGTAATTATCCTACTATAAGCCAGTCACGACAAGACAAGTACTGCACGATACCACTTATATGAGGTATCTAAGTCAAACTCACAGAAGCAGAGAGTACAATGGTGGTTGCCAAAGGCTGAGGGTAGGAGGACATAGGGAATTGTTCTATGGGCAGAAGTTTAAATTATACAAGAATAAGTTTTAGAGATCTGCTGTACAACACTGTATCGTACAGTTAAAAATTTGTTAAAAAGGTAACCTCATGTTAAGTGTTTTCATCCCAATTAAAAAAATGGAGTTACGCCCTGCCCAGGAGTCCAACTAAGATATAGGTAGGTAGTTGGAAGACAATAAGAATCAAGAACAAAGTGGAAAAAAACAGAGCAAAGTGGTAAAACTTGGCTGCAAGAAATAGGATGTGTCAAAGGTATATTGACAATGATGCAAAAACAGTGAGAGTGTGCGTGTGTGCGTGCGTGTGCGCGCACACCTGCCATTAGGCAAACAAAAATCAGCACCGAGAACTTTGCAACTTCAGGATATCCCAATGAAGAAAACAAAGCTCTATATATGCTAATGTGCCCCCAAAGAAACTGATATTAAAAGAAGAAACAACCTCCAGCCCACTATAATGTTCTACATAGTCTTCTTCTAGGACATGGGAATCATCTCCAATGTGTTTTAGAAGTACACATGCCCAGACTCTCCTCATTATTAGACAGATCTGGGTTGAGGGCCAAACAGCTGTATTTTTCAAACATTCCAAAACTGGTCATCACTCCCACGTGCAGCTTAAGCAGCCCCGGCCTTTGTGAGTTAGGTGCTGATGGTCCAGAGGTTGGGGCATCACTTATTTATCCCTGAGTAAGTGTAGCTATCTTTATATCTTTGAGTTCCAAGCATCTACCTGGGTGGGTATCTAGCAAAAAGCAAATCCCATAGAATGAAAATGGAAACAAAGGAGCAATTTGAGGAGTGTGTATAGAAGGACCTGTTGTTAATCACTTTGTATCTAAGATCAACTGTCCCATGCCAAGCAAAATGAACTCTACTTACCTCTTTTCTGAATTACATAAACTAGAAGCTGTTAAGGGTGCTTTTCCATACTGTCTTTGGGTTTCCATGAATGAGATGTGTAGCCACTAAGCCTATCCTTAGTTGTCCTGTCCTAGAATTTGTCTGTGCCCTCCCCGTCTAATATTAAGAGTTTCTTTTATTCCTTGGTTTGACTATTAGTGTAGCTTTCCATTTGACATATTTCCATTTCTGATAGTGCATATTTGGTTCACATTTACAAAATGGAGGTCTAGGGGTTAAGTACAATTGTGGTCGTCATTTACTGTGATGTTTCTTTGTATGACAAGGACTTTGTTCAGCTAGGAGAGGGAAGATGAGGTTTTCTTTGGGGAATATAACCCTAATTCTGTTTCCCATGAAAGTGATCAAATTTAAGAGAAAGGCTATGAAAATGGACCCTTATCCCTAGATAGAGAAGCTCAGAGGGTTCAATTCATAATAACAAAAATAAGACCTAGGCTATTTTCTAATATTACAAAGTTAATTATTATAATGTTAAACTGCTAATCAAGAGTCTTCAAAGACTTCCTATTGCCTACCTAAATTTTTTTTAAAAAAATCTCTTCCCTGGGAATTATAAAGGTCTTCTGAATTTGGCTCCAAACTATCTCCTGGTTCTAGGTCAGTGGTTATCAAAGCCCTCACCCGACCCCAAATCAAATGCATCAGAATCTGTGAGGATCAGGGCCCCAGGGCAGCCAGGGTTAAAAACCACAGCTGTCTCAGCACTCTTGGTTTTGACCTCTGCATCTCAGTTCAGAGTGTGCCCTTCGCCTAGGAAATCTCATCTCCACAGGACTTAACTTCTTTTCCCATAGTCAATCAGGACCTCGCTCAGCTTTTGAAGAGGCAAGGAATCCAGACTCCACAGGTGATTGCCTTATTACCTCAGACTCCAGTTCTGCCATTCGGCACTGAGTGACTGTGGGCTTTAGATCCCTCAATTATTACCGTAGTGACCTCACAATGTTGTTGTGAGGATGAAATAAACTAATATCACAAAGTGCTCACAGAGTGCCTAGCAACAAGTATAAGGGCTCAGTAAGTTTCAGCTCATTAATACCTCCTCCAAGGCCCATCTCAAAGCTCCGTAAGCTGGTAGCTCTCTGTTATTTGAACCTCTTTTTAGCTTTTTAAAAAATTATATAATCTTTTATTTTGAAATAGTTTACGATTCACAAGAAATGCAAAAATACTACAGGATTCCCATGTGGTGTATTGATCAGATGTTTTATTAACAGACTGCCCCTCGACTGGGATTTGTCCGCTGTTTTATACATGGTTAGACTGGGTTTTGGGGAAAAAGACCTCAGAGGTCAAATGCCATTCTCAGCACATCACGTCAAGGGTACGTACCACTACAAGGGTATGTGACTTGCCCCTGTCGATGTTGACCTTGATCACCTGGCTGAGGCAGTATGTGTCAAGTTTCTCCATTGCAAAGTTACTCTTTTTTCCTCACTTTCCACACTGTGTGGAAGGAAGTCCCTACATACAGTCCATGCTTAAAAAGTAGGGAGTTATTTCCACTTCCTCGAGTATCTGTAAATTATTTGAACTTCTTCTATATGAGAGATTTGTCTCTTCTTCCGTATTTATTTACTCAGTCATTTATTAATATCAGCATAGACTCACGGATATTTGTTTTATGTTTGGGTTATAATCTAATATTACATTATTTATTTTATTGCTCGAATTGTTCCAGTTTTGGCCTTTGAAGGCTCTTTCGATTACTTTGTGTCACTTTGACATACCCTCGTCTTTTTCTTTCTTAAGCACACCCTTAGTATCTGGCATTACCAAATTTTCCAGATTCACCTTGTATATTCTCTGCCCCACCCCTGCAAACATCCTTTCTCCTAGTTCCTTTCACTGGAGAACAGAATTAGTAACCATGATCTGGGTGGTGGGTGTGCTTGCTGCTAGTGGGGTACAGACTCTTTTTTTAAACTTCATTATTCCCCATCCCTGATGCAGGCATATCAAAATATGCTAATTGGGAATGATTCTTTCTTAGGCTGCATAAAATAATGGACTACCTGAAAAATAATTATTGGAATGTAACACTCTCCCCTTATATAACTCCACATATAATCAAGAAGAGGATCTTTCATAAGTCCTAGGAAATGTACTTTTCAACCAAATTGTGACACAGGATTCGAAATAGTTCAACATAATAGTGAAAATGTTAAATGGCAGGGTAGGAATAAGAGCCAAAATGCTTAAATTGGAAATGAAAACTATAAGAACAACATAATTCCACTAAGGAAGTGATGATATATTCTTAATACTGAGAACCACAAGTTCCTCCAACAAAAACAAAGTGAAAAGAACCTTGAAAATTCAGGTTTTGCTGTTATACTATGTACAGGACAGCAATGAACTAGGTTAGGAGTAATTCTGCTGCCAAATAGAAGATAAAATCTACTGTGATAATATTATAGAACTTAAAATAGAATTCAAATGTTCTCACTCAAGCTGGCTGAAAGAAAGAAAAATCTAGGTGTTACTTATTTGTAGTTTAAGCGAAAACCAAATAGCTTATTAACACAAGCAAGCCCCACCCCAGAGACAGGGTGCAATGAAAGTCAAAATTATGAGAGTGGAATGAAATCTTCCTACAGAATATGTTACAATAGAAATTAATATTCCCAACAAAGGTCTCACCTTTGCTTTTTCTTTTTTCAATGACCACAACATTACATTTAATGAATTGGAAATCACACACCTCTACAGATTTCTTTATGTTTAAGTAAATCAAACAGAACATTAAATTATACGTAATATGAATGAGCATCATCATCAATTATAAAAGCTACCCTCCATTTCACTTCTTTCTAACTCATGCTTTCCTTTTATATCAATAAATCAAAAGCAGAGAAGACTTTTATCATGGTAATGAAACCCAAGTGCTATTTGGGGAAAACTGAGAAGCTAGGAAGAGAAGCTTTTGGAAAGACTTAAATGCCACAGGAAAATAGGAGAAACAGATTCAGGAACATCCTTTGAGCAAGAACAAAGAGTGATGATCAGGCCATTGATCCAACAGAAAATCCTTTCGGTTTACAAACAGTCCCTCTTTACCTGATGGATGCCAGAAAGAGCACATTGGTCCTAGGTGGAGAAACCTGACCTTTCAACATCCCTTCCAACAGCACAGAGAGCAGAGCTTGGAAAGTAGGAGAATCATACGCCTGAACCCAGATGAAGGGACTGGTGAGCCACTCCAACGACTGGTCAACCCCAGATGGAAGGAAGTCAACCAAGGGGACAGGAGAAAGTTTGGTCAGAGGCTAACAAGGGACATATGCTGCCTGTGCAGAACTTTCTTTTGATTTCCCCACTTAAAAAAATCACAGCAGCACAGAGCTGGGCTAAATCAAATCCAAAACTCACAAAACCAAGCCATTTCTACCTTACATTTTATCTATGGCAACCTGCATTTCTGCAGCATTTTCCCTTTAACAATCTGAAGTGCATCCCTGGTTTTTAATTATGATGACAGATAAAATGAGATGTCGACCTAATATGAAGCTGTTTTACTTTCTAAAACCACAACCTTTATCGCTGCCACCCTACTAAAGCAGTCACTTCCTTTCTTTCTGCTGTGAAACTCCTTCTCTACTTTTCCACTTCTCCAACTCCCCACTTATTTCCTCAACTCTGTTTAAAATCTGTTTACCAGCAAGCACAAGAAAATCAGTCTCGTCACTTCAGTCACAAGACGCGATCCTCTGGCCTGCTACCTTTTCTTTCCTCCCTTTACTGCACCAGCCAACCCCCTCCCCTCTGCTTTCTCTTTCTTCCTTGTTGGATCATTTGCTTGCCCTCTTGGCCTCAAAGCCCCACACTGTGCTGGTACTGGAGCCAGAGACCCCAGGGAGAGAGTTTTCAGGGTCAGAGGAAAACAAGCACGCCTTTGAGGAAAGACTTCTGAGGAGTAAAGCCAGAAGCAGAAGCAAAGCCAGTTCCTGGCTATGAGGGCTGAGTCGCACTCACAATTCACTGGAAATATCAGGAGGTAGCTCTTGCTTGAAAAAACACAGGCTTTGGAAACAAGACACCCCCGTCCCTGTCCCTTAACACTTTCTGGCCATATGACCAGTAACTACTGAACCTCTGAATGACTGCTTCCTCAATTTTAACATGGGAAAAAATGATGCCTACATTAATTATCCTGTGGATAAAAATGAGATAATGTATGTAGAACATAATGAAAAGAACCCATGAAAGATGCGCTGTCATGTATCTTAGAAATCTACTCAAAGTTTCTGTCCATCCATTGGCACTTAAAATTACAGTCAAAGACAATCTTTTTAAAAAGGTTTTTGGAGGTAAATTCCTTTCAGGTTAAAAGAAATTTTTTGAAGAAAATCACCACCTGGCATTATAACATTTATGCTTAAAAATTATAAGACTCGGTCTTGACAGAGATTTGTTTTGATGTTTCTCAAAAACACATGACCATCCTCTCCGTTTACAAGATTTTTATATGCTAGAAGGAACACATTCAGGGATGCACCAGAAATCAGTCACAGTAGTAGCTGAGAACATGTACTCACCGGGTGATATAGGCCTGCTTGAGCTTGGAGAAGGAGTATAAGGGATTGGGCTGGACACAGTGCGAGGTCTTAATCCTTGTGCAGACATCTCATTAAAACACCTAAGGGTTGGAGAGGGGTTGGGAACGATCAGAACCATCTGCATTTCTTAAAGAGAGCTCCTATGAGAAAATATTTGACCTCACATCTTGAGGTCAAACTCAGAATGTTTAGAGGGTGATGCTGTAGCTAGGAGACATATAAAATGGACTCTCACTGCTCTACTGCTTGGCAGGCCTCTCTCCCCTGAGGTACAGTACAGGTTAGGGAATCCGATGTCTGAGCTGAGGATGCAGGCCTGGTGACAGCCGCACCACACAACAGAGTACCAGGCTTTTCTCCATCACACAACAGCTATGTAGAATTCTACTTCCACTGTCCCAAGAAGGGCAGACAGGGCTACACTGTAATGGCTACATTTAAATTGTTATGTAAGACTCAAATCCATACAAGCCCTCTGAGATTTATGTGATCAAATTAAAGATTAAAGATACGTCTTTCCGTGAACTAAATGTCAACAGCTCACAAGGCAAGCCTTCCTCAACAAACAGTCACATGTTAGGACATAATAAAAGACACTTAAAAGACTGCTGATGAGGAAAAATTTCTATTTGAGAGACTTCCTGATAAGCTATCCTTCACAGGTCTCACGGCCAAAGGAAGAAACTGCCACATGTGCAGGCATCTGTATCCGAGGGACAATCTCAGCCCTGAGAGTCAATCGGTTCACGGGAGGAACTTTTAACACTGTCATTTCTACACTGGTGCTTCAACACGAAGAAAACCAGGCTCCTGAATCTGACATGCGTCCCTCAACTAGATACCCAAGCACTACTTTTTCCTCTACTCTAGAGCAGCCACCATGGGGGCAACAGGCTAGACTTCTTGTATTCTACACCCAGCTAGGCAGCTCAGACCGCCTCTTGGTCTTTAAGGAATAAACACACTGGTAGACGTCTCAAGTGTCCGACTATTTTCTTTCTCCCAAACGTGACATCATCATTCCCAGTAGGGAGAGAAGACGTCTTTATTGGGCAGCTATACTCTACCTGGAATAATCCGGCCTACAAAAGATAAAGCAAACCTTCTGGAGGGAGTATCAGTTCTGAAAGAAAGTATTTATCCAGAAACCCGAAATAGCTTTAGTATTGTCGCCACGGCTGAAAGAAATTCTGAAACTGCATGTCTGACTCAAAATCAGGTACAGGGTACTGTGTATGTTAACCCATGGTCTGCTCTGTGTCTTATGACAGTTAAAATAGTTAATAAGTTATTTAGTATTTGAGCTGATGTTTTCAGCCAAATGGTTTTTAGAAGACAAGGATTTCAGAGAGAATGAGACATAGAAAGAAATCAGCAAGATTCAGAATTAAGAATGATAGTTTTATGATATAAACTTGAGAAAGAATCTTTTTTCTCTTCAAATGAGGAAACAGATACACAGATGTTTTAAATAGCATTACCCATTACTCTGTTCTTATAATTTTTTTAATTATAAAAATATAGACCTTCGTTATAGAAAATCTGACTTTTTTCTTGAAATGATAATACCATCATGCACGGCAAACTGATCAAAAGCCTTGTTAACCCACTGGATCTGTTCAATAATAGAAATGGAGACAGAGTGCTGATGTGCTAATATTGCCCACATGTTCTCAAACAACGTGTTTTGGCATCGATAGCCTGTACAACTCATCACACCCATGAGCAGACCCTGGTCTCAGACACTGGCTGCTCAGTCCTGTTGGAGGGGCCCCAAGGAAGCTCAGCCTCACGTTCCGCACTGCGATACTGACCGTGAAAGGCCAGGGCATCCCTGACCCAGACAGAGAATGTCCTGGCTGAAATGATCGGGTTCGCAGAAAGGCTAATTCCCCAACTGTTGGGTTTCTCTGCTGATTGAACTATTTTTTGTTTTTTGTTTTCTTTTTTTAATTTGTTGCTTATCTTAAGAATAACCTTACTCTCAAGTACAGAAGAGGGAGAAGAAAGGCGAAGCAGGAGGAAAAGAGGAAGGGGAAGAAAATCTGTATGGGAGAGAAACGCTGATACCACTTCCTCTAATTAACCAAAGGCTGACTCTTATTTCAGCCCATTTCTTGGTGGGATAATCAGGGGGTCTGATGTGAGGTTTTAGCAGGTAAATGCATTGGATTATTTTTCAAAAGTAACTGCAAAAAAACTCAAAAGTCACTAAGTGTGTTAAGGCAAGGCCTCTGGCTTTCAACAACCTCCACCTGCCTCCTGCTGATTCTTTCAACCTGTGTATGCTTTCGTTTCCTCAGGCTGTACCACTGCTTGCTTACCCGTATCTATGACTTAGGATACTTCCACGCTTTAAACGGACATAACACAGGATTAGATGAATTCATCACAGATGCGAGCTCTGTCTCTTTACACATAACCCTGCTTCCATTTCGCTCCCCACCAAATAACTTTGGAAACATACTTTTTCCCCCTTTTTTGTAAAATCACACAAACAAACAAATAAAAAACACAAAATAATCCCACACACAAAAAAACTCACAAAAACACACAAAAAAATAACACCAAAACAGTCACTCTTCTTTTTTCCCATTCTCAACATCTACTTCAACGCAGTGGTATTCATCATCACAAATAAATGTTTAAAGCCATCTCCTTCCACATCTAACAGGGTATAAGAGACCTCCTGGAACTTGGTTAGTTTTTTTAAACAAGGCTCATAAGACACGTACATACCTTTCGTCATCCATTTCCAAGCTGGACTCACTCTCGGAGAGCTGTCGACAGAGGGCTTCTCTTCTCTCCATCTCCCTCTGCAGCTTCCTCTGAAGCCTCAGGTTCTCCTCTCTCATGTGACGTTCCTCCTCCAGGTACTGCGCCATTTTCTCTGAATCTGAAAAGCCAGAGTTCTCGGTGAAACCATGTTTCACGCAATCATATCCAAATCTTAAAGATGGCAGTCCAGCTCCTGTGCTATAGGCAAAGAACTGTTGCGAGACAGTTCTCACTCTCCTACACACAGATGAAATCTGGACTTAAAAGTGCCAATGTTTACCAACAATCTACATTTATAAAAATCATAAAAAACGGCATCGGGACTTTCGGTATTTTCATTCCCACTTACTTGCTTTCTAAAATGCTTGATGTGGAAGAAATAGTGACGTTGCAGCTGCGTCTGGACTTAGCAACTACCAGAGCTCTTTACGTTGCCAGAGCTAAGAGGGGAGGGGGCCCAGTCCAGAAAATAGATTTGGTCCATGGGGGACCCTCTGAGCACCATCCTGTTGCCCCTCAACTCAAGACACAGTGTGGTGAGTCTCCTATGGGAGGCTGTCACAATTGTTTGCACACCCACAGTACACTGTGGTAGAGGCACACTGGGACCCAGTATACTAGAACACACTCAGTAAGTTATGATTCTTTAAATAATAGAAATTGACATAGTACACAACTGTCATATTTCAAATAAGCTAATTTTTGGTGTGCATGTGTTGACTCATGCACAGCCTTTCTGAGTTACAAGGCAGGTAAAGACCTGTACGCAGCCAGGCTCTTGGGATGGCATCACACTTACGATGAACATCCCTTCGTCAGCAGCTCACCCCATGCTGAGGTCTCTATTACCGCACTGACCTCCCAGGCCAGAGCGGACTCAGTTTCTCTTTCCTAGGAATCTGAAATGTGGAACTGACATCTTCATGGGCTCTAGAATCTCCTTCTGCTGAATTCCCTGGGTCACGAGCCCTGCTGTTCTGAAGTTATTCTGTGCAGGATTCTTGCACACTTCAGCACCATTCCAAGAAATTATATAATATGACATTCCTGCCCTTTTTCTATTTTGCCTCAGACAGAACCTGTTGTTACTAAGTAACCAAAATAACCTTGATACAAACTCAGTGTTTACCCATCTTCCTTCTTTTTCCCTGTCTTAGCCAACGAACTTGGGGAAAAGTAAAATCTCAAAAAAAGATAATATCTACTTCTCTTTTCTGAAAAATAGCTACACATTTCTCAGTAGCCATGATCACACCTAAGAGAGAATCCTACAGGTTACTGCTCCATATTATTAGCCAAGTCCAAATTTAAGAAGGAGCTGAATGCCGCATTGACCACTTCTCTCTCACAAACTGACCCTTTTTCAACTCCCAAGTCCATCAAAGTAGTTTCAATTTTAAGCAACTCCACGAAGGTCTGGCGTTTTAGCAAATAATGACTTTTAATGATAAATATTCAATGATTTTCATCATTACAGAACATACAAAAGCTTTTGAATGTCCCATTTTAGAAATTCAAATAAAAATATCAAAATTATTAAACACTATTATGGGCACTAAACATTTAAATCCCTCAGTTGTTTTCAATATAACCAGAAACCTTGCTGTTTAATCCGGATGCAAAAAATCTTTTTAATTGAAGGCATGCTGGGAATATACTTAGAAATCATACTTTTAATAAAAACGATTTAAATTACTTCATCCCAAATATGCAAGCATGCAGAATTTTTAACTAGCGCTATGGGAAACAAAAGATTGGCTCATTGCAGTACTTATTGTTTCTAGAACTAGAAGGGCAGCTGTCAGAGCCAGTTGCCTTTCTTTTTCATAAACAGGAAAGCTTCGCAGAACTGAGGATTCATGAGGTTTCTAGGATAATCAGTTAAGAGGAAACGCTGTCTTTCAAAGAAAATGGCAATCCTTTAGCATCTGGGGAAATCAGCAGGGGATCCTTAAACAATAATCTATAGACAAGAAAGTCAGTCACCAGGAGGTGGCTAGAAGAAATTCTGGCAGTTCAGCAATTAATGGAGAAGCCAGGGCTTAGAGAAGGCACCAGTTCCAACACCTCTGGGTGTTACAGACCCAGACCCAGATGACTGACACCATGGCATTGCTTGGGTGCCCTCTGCTGGCACAATGAAACACTTGATTTCAAGAGACTGGATTTATTCCCATTTATTTACTCCATTACCTTCCCTCACCTAGAGCTCCCTAGGGCTTAGGGGCCACAGCTTATGTTTCCCCATCTTTAGGCATCTTGCAATATTTAGTCAAAGACAGCCTCAACTGAGGGTGACTTTCGGTCAGACTCCAGAGAGGTGGTTCCCAAATGATCCAAAGGTGGCCTGGACATTTTGCATTCTTTTTCAAGTTTATGTTTAGAAAATACCAGTGCCCAGACCGCACCCAAACCAATTAAATCAGAATCCCTGAGAATGAAGCCTCTCCAGTAGTATATTCAAAACTTCCCAGGAGATTCCAACGTTCAACCAGAGTTGAGAAATACTGGGAGGGAGCTTCAAGTTCAGATATAGGTAGACTTAGAGGATATGGATGAGGAAAAGTCATTAACACATCCTCTAAACCCCATCCAAACCAAGTGCCACTTGCTGCTCTTTGGGTCAGTTTTCTCTGTCCTCACCAAAAAAAAAAAAAAAATCAAAACACCACTTATGGATGCCTCTGGTATCTGTAGTCTCTTTAAAGACCACATTAGTGCAGTAGAAAGAAGCAGTGAGAATGAAAAATTCTTCCCAATTTCTTCTAAAAATTTCGTTGAAAGCACAAGGCACAAGTATATACGAGAAAGAAAAATGCAAACTGATGGCACCGGAAAGAGTTCAGAAAGATTGACTAAAAGATATTTGTCTGCCCAACGCGGCAAAACTCAAAAAATACCCTAAAGCAACCAATGTTTTCATGGAATATATGTAGTGGTTCTCAATCCAGGGTACATATCAGAGTTATCTACATTAAAAAAAAAAAAAATACAGAGAACCAGACTGTATTCATTAAGTACGCCCAGAAACCTATATGGAGTTAGACAAAATAAAGGACTCCCAAAGATGTCTAGATCCTAATCACTGAAGCCTGTGAATATATTTATTACCGTAGATGGTAAAAAGGGGCTTTGCAGATATGATTAAGTTAAAGACCTTGAGATGGGAACTTATCCTCAATTACCTGGCTGGGCCCAATGGAATCACAGGGTCCTTATAAGGCGGAGGCAGAGAGAGTGAAAAGGAGATGTGATAACAAAAGCAGAGGTTGGAGTGATGTCAAAGCAGGGAAGGGGCCAGGAGCCAAAGAACGCAGGCATCCTCTAGAAGTCGGCAAATGCAAGGAAGCAGATTCTCCTTCAGAGCCTTTTATAAGGAATCAGCCCTGCTGACCCCTTGATTTCAACCCAGAGAGACCTATTTTGACTTCAGACCTGAGGAACTATAATATGTGTTGTTTTCAGCTACTGAGTTTGTGGTCATTTGTCACAGTAGCACACTGGAAATTTTTAAAGGTCCAAGGATGATCCTGATACACCATCCCAGATGCAATACCGGACAAGAATTTACAATGCATTTTAGAAAAGAAAACAAAGATAAAATCATTGAGATTTTAAATGTATATGTTCCAATTGATTCAGTAAATCCAATTCCTGAAAATTATCTTGAAGGTGTGTTTACACAGTTACCAAATGTATGTATATATAGACATTCATTACGGTTGCAGCATCACAACAAGAAGGGTCCACTGGTATGGGACTAGTTAACTAAATTATGGCATAATCACATAATCAAATACTAAAGTAGCCTTTAAAAAAAGGAGTAAGGCAGCTCTATATATAATAGCAAGGGAAAAATAGCAGGATATAATGAATGAAAATAGAAAAATGCAGAAGAGTATGTTCACTGTACTATTTGTATAAAAGAAGTTTATACACACACGTACTTATATCTGGAAGAATATATGAAAAATGTGTAACTGTGAGAATTAGGTGGCTGGGGACTGAGGTAAGAGGAACACTTTTTTTCCCCCTGCATACCTTTCACTATATTATCTATTCAAACAAAAGAGTTTGAGCAGCCTAAAAGCTGAAATAGGAGAGACTCAAGCAATGCCCTAATCGAGTATTCAGAAATCTAGTTCCTTTGATTTCCAATTCAACACTCTGACCTTTTCCAAAATAGTAAATATAAATTCCAAAAGCATTTATTCTTCAAGTACCATGAACGAATATTAGCTGAAGCTAAAATTTAGCAGTAAAGAAGATAAAGACTCTACTCTTTGCCTTAATGCCCCAAAAGGTCTTCTGCAATATTTGTGTTAGCATAATCCTAGAGATGAATGCAGGGGAGATTAAAAATATTACCTATGGTTCTGGGCCCTCCTAAAATTATTTAAATTCTTTTCTGTATTCTAAACTATTCTCCCTACCCAATTACAGTATTTTTTAGAAATAATTTATTCCAGGACAACAGACTTATTAAACATGTATTGGTAATGAAATACAATATGAATTTGATTAATGCAAATTAAAGAGTAGCTATCAGTAAAACCCTGTATTTGGTAAATGGATTAATTCTGCACAGAAAAGACTAGTGAAACCAGAGCTACGTACGCTGTAACTGAGCGGCCCTCAGTTGCTTCTTCAGCCTCTCCACTTCATTCTTCAAAAACCTGATGTGACGCATCATGTTTTCTGGAGAGTCAATCTCCATGGAGATGTCTCTAGGTGATGGGGGAGCTGAGACCGGCTGGTCTAATTTCTCCTGCAGGATTCTTGATTGAAAAGAAAAGTTCCAACAATGAAAAATAGTTCCCTTTAAAAGGCAAAACAATATACTAGCTAGAGGGTTTGTTTTAATAGCAAACTCCTGTAAATGGCCAGAATGAATTCATGGGGTTGCTTATCTCCTCTGCCCATTTCACATGAACTTCACGGCACCCTGACCTAGTATTCAAGTCAAAGGGCAGAGCTGAAGGATCTATCCTCCTTTTTTTCTTTTTAATGGTCACTGGTAATTAAGCATTACTGAAAAAAAAAAAATCTCTAACATTTGCTTCTGATTAGTATGTCTGACATACAATATCATCTGCTGCCATAATGTTTGACATGTTGGTTGAGGACATGGAGATGCTAAAGGAGTTCCACTGTCTCAATGCTTCCTTTTGAAACTTATGAACTCTGTACTATGAATCTCTGTGGAGGCTGGTGTAACACAGAGACTCAGCTTCTAAAATTCCTTTCGGAAATACCAATCCTGAGGGCATGGCAAATTGGATGGAAGACCCTTTGCTTCTGGCTACAGCAAAGATAAAAAGTTCAAAACAACACAAAAATTATTGGGCTAATAACTGGCAGAGTTACCTCTCCAACAATTATCGTTAATTTGAATCACATAAAATACTTATTTACATTCAACAGCTTTTGATTTATGAAATGCCGATTTCATATTGCTCAACGCAATAATCTGATATTGATATATATGAAACCTCAGTTGCATTTTGCAAAAGAAGACTGAATAGCAACAGATCTCCGTGTCCTCTTTTACAGGTGGCTGAGGGTTTTGGTTTTGTTTTTAACTTTTTACCTTTGAGTTTGCTTAGGGCAAAATGAATTAGGCCTGCTCTTGTTGAGCAAACTAGATTTGTGAAATGTTGTAATGGTCCCTACATTTATTATATTAAATAATTTTTCATAATTCAGCTTATTAGTACTACTATGATATGCAAAACATAGCTTGATTCAAGTACAGCTTGAATATTTCCCTATAGATATACCTCTAATTTTCACTTTTCTTAAAGCCTATGGTATGTCTCTATTTTGCAAATCTTGAGATGAACTCTGGTTGGCAAATTAGATTAATGAACATTTTCAAGAAACTCCCTTTCTACACCTATACACAGATCTCGCATACAGAACTCCCTGCCATTTTTCAAGCCCTGCTCCAGCAATTCCACCCCATTAAGATTGCAAGACTTAAAAATAAAGGCCTGACAGTATCATGCACCGAGGGATTCAAGAAATGTTTCTTGTTAAATGACATTTCGCATCCATGTACATACATTTAACACAAAGAATCCTAACCTTAAAAATGTACAAAAACTTCTTTCCGTAAGTTTTAAAACAATTTTCCTATTTAAATCTCAGCTTTCCTAATGAAGTACACTCTAAAGATGTGTAATAATTAATGGTACATACGTTAAGCACTTTTTAAAATTGGGAAAGCCAGTTCAATAAGGTAAAAAGTTGAAACTCCAACCATCCCTCAGAACAATTTAAAGGTGAACAATAGCACCTAGACTAATTTATTCATAGCCTGATGCCAAATGAAAAATTCTGCTGCGATTGTAAGAAAGAAGTATGAAGAGGTGACCAACATGAAAATAGTTCAGAAGGTTTCAACATTTTTTTTTTTTTTTTGGTTTGGCAAATTAAAATGATATGCATCAATGAAAAAATTAAATGTGCCATTGTTACTCTTCAGTCACACCAGCACGGTACCCTAGCCACATACATACACCCCATACTAAACAGCAAGACTAAACAAACCGCTTTTCGGCTTCAAGTTTATCCATCCTTTTCCAGAGACGATTAACTAGCGCTTCTTGTTCTTGTTCCAAAGTATTTTCAAGGTCGATCTTCTCCCGTCTCAACTAGAAGAAGGAAAAAGTTTTACTGAGAATAGTAGGACACTTAAGCTTTGTTAGATTTCTTGATTAGACCATTAGGACTCTATACTTGGAGAAAACTGCAAAGAAATGATCAATTTTCTGGCACAGACACATTAAGTGCATCTAAGTTCTTAAACTTTAATTGAGAAAACCAAGACAGGTTCATTCTTTGATGTTAAAGCTTAATTGCTGTCTGGTACATAGCTTGTTTCTGCATTTATTCAAGGCACATGGAAGGTCTTCCTTAAGGGGTTCTACTGACTTGTCTTACTCGTCTGCTTGCTGACTTATCTGGGTTGGTCCTCCCAGTTCTGCATATAGTTCAATGTAAAACCAAAAAGGTTCTATTATCATTTATATAATAAACAACTCTAATACCTGAAGACAATTCTACATACTGGTCAATGAATGTGCATAAATATGTCTTAAGATATAAAAACATGCACAAAATGATAAACATCAATTAATTCACAATACTGGTTATCTCTGTGGAAGGAGGGAAGAAGGGACATTTGATTTGGGGTAAGATACTGAGTTGTGGAGAGAACCCCCAAAATGCATTCTACTTCATAAAAAGAAGCGAACATGGAAAAAATCATTTAATCAATCAATATGGAGAAATATGTGAATATTGAGAACAATGCCAGAAACTGGTTAACAGGGATGTAACAGCAAACCAAGGAATCAGACATTTCTGTCCTAGTGGAACTTATATTTTAGTGGGGGTCAGGTCAGTAAATGCAACAAAAAATTACAAACTTCGTAGAGAGTGAAAAGGATATGAAGAAAAAGAAGACTGGTGAGAGGGATAGAAAGTGCAATGAAAAAGATTTCACGGCGACGGGTAGAAGGAATGTGTTATATCATTCTTTGTACTTGTCTACATGTTTGAGACATTAAATAATTTTAATAGGAATTTTCTTTAAAAAGAGAAGGCTGTTACTGCCCCCATGCTGTCCCTTCAACCAACAGCAATTCGCCTTTTCGGTCACTGAGTCAACAAATTATTTTTGATTGCACAGCTGCAAAAATGCCAAGGTGGCAAATTTCCACATTTCCTTAGCAGGTCATAGAGGCAAGCTTCTCAATGATTAAAGATCTCTGTGTATACAGTAAAGTGAGACCAATACCATGTATATAATGTAACCTTTTAAAGCAGCTAAAGCAGACCTGATTTGGCAAGTGAATAAGCCCAGATCACAGAGTCAAGTGAAAATACAGCTTCGAAATATTTTCTTTGCATAGAGGAGGGAGGAAGGGGTGCTGGGAAGTCAGAAATAATTTGTGCCGTGAAGTTGGGAGCAGGCTAACACAAAATACCCCTCAGAATGTTCAGTGGTTCCTATCTGCAGCAATGAGAATCCCCAGAAAGTCTCATAGAACTCCTATAAAACTTAGTGATTCTCTATGCTAACCACGTTTTTGGCCAAGCTTTAAAGTACAGTTCATAGCCACTTTTTTTTTTTTTTTAAAGAAACAAAATTCCAAGGCATTTACCTTTTAAGGACCTTAATTCCTGTGTTTAACTAAAAGCATTATAGCGGGTACTTGGTAGGCAAGAAAAAATTCAAGCAATGCATCATTTAGTAGTAGAGAAACTTATGCCTAATTACTTATTTCGGAGTAATCATGCATAATGCTAATCAATATTTCTGAAAAGCAAAATCAAGCCAAAGCTGTCTTTGCCCATCGATAACTTATGAGGTATGTGGCTCTGAGCAGGTACTCACCTGCTGTGAGCCTCGATGTCCTCATCTATGAAATGAGAAGGCTGGCCTATATGACTTCTGAGGTCTCTTCCAGGGTTATCTATTAAATCATTCTCTGTCAGTTTCAAGTTGGCAGCTGCCTTCAATCTGAGCTAGCTCAGTTACAGATTTTTAAAACTGGAAGCAGCAAGACAAATCATCCAAATTCACCCTTTCATTTTAGAGCTGAAGAAACCACTGACTGGCCTGGGAGATGATGTGACTCATGCAAAGCAAGACCACCAGGATAGGAATGAAAATCAGACACCATTACAGCCAAAGGAGCTGGGTCTTGTCCAACCGATGAGTACAGAGAATCTTAAAAGGAAATCGGGGTTTCGGGTAAATCATGCCATGGTTTGTGAGCCTACCTCCTTTGCCAACAATTCTTGGGAGAAGCAGAATGGGAGAGTGGGGTAACTTAATGAGTCTGAGAGATGAGGAACCAGATAAGAAAGCAGGAAAATGGTTGACAAGGTACATGAATCTGTTTCTTTTGGGCGCTAGCTATCAATTTACTTCTCACTTCAGCAAATGAAGGGTTCCTAGGGGTGAAACTTGGGTTTCCTGTACCAATTTGCTCTCCTAATTTTTCCCATGAAGCAGGCAACACAGGAAGCCCTAGCTCAGCAGCTTAGATTTGGGTGTTTCATCGCACAAGCTGACAGTACTATCGGAGTTCACAATATCTTTAGCCTTAGAAAGAGCAAAGTTTCCTGTCCTGTTTTCTAAGTTTTAAAAATCTCAACTTTTCGGTATTGCTGAGGAGTTCTCATGGACATTAAAAGGCAGAGAAGTCAGAAGACATGGTATTATTTATGATTATGATTAATTTCCCCTTAAATTCTTCATCAGAGTTGCCCTTCCACCTCCAGCCCACTTAACTCTGCAACCTACATATTTAGAGCCAAAGCGTACACATCAGTTCTGCCAATTCAGACAGAAGTATATTTTCAGTGCCTACATTGTCCTGATATTGAACAATCCTCAAATCTGACAGTATATGTTTAGTTTATAGGGTAGTTAAGTCAGAAATTCGTGCTTGAATTGAAACAGCGACCCGATGATGCATTGCTTTCATTCTATTGGTCTCTATTGGTAACATTCTCCCTAATCACCCTCCTAATAATATCTGATCACTTTTTTTTTTTATCAGTGTTTATGCAACAAGCATCCGCTCATCCATCACCAAACATCAAATTTTCAGGCTAACCAGAGCCCTTTCTGACTGCTTATTCTGGGAGCACCAGCACCAGTGGATATATAGCTGATGTGCAAAATATATTCACTTGAAAGGCTGCTTTTGTAAATAAGTCAGTTCAATGGACTGACAAATTCTTTACTTCTCTTCAGTAGCTCTCCCTCTCATTACAGGTTAATGTCAGACCAAGAGTTCTTACTACGTTCCCCAAATAAACATAGAACTTCTTTAATGGATAAACTTACTGTATACAAATAAAGCTGGCTCGTTTGAATTCACAGCCCATCCTGGCTGTGTCTTCTCAAAGGGTAAACACTGACCACCATCAAAAAAGCAGTAAAGGTAAGGGAGAGCCGGGACATAGCTCCAAACACTCCCAGATTTCTGTCTCACTGTAGCCTTTTCCTATTTAATAAGCCAGAACTATGATAGTGGGATGGAGGTAGACGTGGGGGAAAGGAATGCTTGCAAAAAGGCCTGAGAACTTTTAGTTTAATTGTTGTGCTCAACAATAGAATTTTAAAAGGTGTTAGGTGGATCTTTTCAATCTTTGAAAAGCTTTGAAAAGCTTTAGGCCAACTACCATATTTTCATCATTTCTAAGGAAAAATATATTTTGAAACTCAAACATCTGACTTAAAAAAAAAAAAGATTTTGGGTTATGGGATGGATGAAAAAGGGGAAGGGATTAAGATATACAAATTGTCAGTTATAAAAAGTTGTGGGAGGTACAGTATATCACAGGGAACAGTGAGTAACACTGTAACAACTAAGCATGCTGTCAAAGCGTACTAGATTTACTGGGGGATCACTTCCCAACTTATAGAAATATCTAATTGTTATGTTCTACACTTGAAATTAACATAATATTGTATGTCAAATGTGCTGAAAATTTTTTTTTAAATTTTTTAAAAACATAAATTTGGAAGGCAGTCCATTACTGCTAATCTAAGATAATAAAGAGAAGGAAAAGCCCATTATATAAGGGCTACCATATAAACAGAACACAGACATAGTTTGTTATGACATATAGCAAAAAGCACTTAGAATGATGATGACATAAGCAACGTACCTGATGTTTAAAAAAAGAAACAGAGTACACTCTCTAGGACCTATGTTAACCAAACTCTAAGTTGGCTAGATATTTTTTTTTTAAGAGGCAAATCCTAATAAAACAAGTGAGTGATGGGGAGTAACACAACAATTACCAAAAACCTTCCAGGTTAGGTAGTATCTGAAGGCCATTAACGGTTTAGCCCAATTTCTGATCAACTTCTTATGTAGTACCAAAGATGCTCAAAGCAGTGACTCTAAAGGTATATCAGAATCATCTGAGAAAACAAAAAGCACAATATTCAGAAAATGACTAAAACGATGAACACAGTCTTTGCAATAGAGTGAATGTTTGTGTCCCTCCTCCCAATTCATATGTTGAAGCCTAAATACCCAACCTATACTCTGATGGTATTTAGAGATGAGGCCTTTGGAACGTACTCTCAGGATTCAGTTGATGTTATGAGTGGGACTCCCATGATGGGATTAGTGTCCTAAGAGTTGTGAGAGACCTTGCTGCTTGTTGCTCTCTGTTCTCTGCCATGTGACAATTCAAGAAGTAGGCAGTCTGCAACCCTTAAGAGGGCTGTCACCAGAACTGTCAAGCCGGCACCCTGATCTTAGACTTCCAGCCTCCAGAACTGTGAGAAGTAAATTTCCATTGTTTATAAGCCAGTCTATGTTACTTGTTATAGCAGCCCATATGGGCTAAGACTGTTTATTCCTAGTAGAGCAGAGAAAATAAAAGCTCTTACCTCATTCCACCGTTCTTCGCCAATATACCTGAGTTAATCAAAGTTTTACATACACATAGTAAGTTCTCACTTAACGTCGTTGACAAGTTCTGCAACTTTAAGCAAAACAATGTATAACGAAACCAATCTTACCAGAGGCTAACTGATATAAACAAGAGTTTAGTTCCTACAGCATCTCATCAACGTTATAAAAAAATGACGTCAATTGAGGACCTGCTGGACATA